TAGAGGGCCATGAGACTTAGACCTGAGTGCAAAAATGGAGGCTCTAGCCCCTTCCAGAGCTGAGATATCGAAACTCAAAAATTCGCCCGAAAAAAAACGACAGTGGTACCCCTTACGTTTTTTTTTTCGGGCGAAAAATTAAGTTTCTCCAATCTTCCCAAAACTCTGGATTCTGATAGAGGGCCATGAGACTTAGACCTGAGTGCAAAAATGGAGGCTCTAGCCCCTTCCAGAGCTGAGATATCGAAACTCAAAAATTCGGCCCGAAAAAAAAACGACAGTGGTACCCCTTACGTTTTTTTTTTCGGGCGAAAAATTAAGTTTCTCCAATCTTCCCAAAACTCTGGATTCTGATAGAGGGCCATGAGACTTAGACCTGAGTGCAAAAATGGAGGCTCTAGCCCCTTCCAGAGCTGAGATATCGAAACTCAAAAATTCGGCCCGAAAAAAAAACGACAGTGGTACCCCTTACGTTTTTTTTTTCGGGCGAAAAATTAAGTTTCTCCAATCTTCCCAAAACTCTGGATTCTGATAGAGGGCCATGAGACTTAGACCTGAGTGCAAAAATGGAGGCTCTAGCCCCTTCCAGAGCTGAGATATCGAAACTCAAAAATTCGGCCAAAAAAAAAAACGACAGTGGTACCCCTTACGTTTTTTTTTTTCGTGCCAAAAACTGAGTGCGACCTGAGTGCAAAAATGGAGGCTCTAGCCCCTTCCAGAGCTGAGATATCGAAACTCAAAAATTCGGCCCGAAAAAAAAAACGACAGTGGTACCCCTTACGTTTTTTTTTTCGGGCGAAAAATTAAGTTCTCAATCTTCCCAAAACTCTGGAAGGGTCTAGAGCCTCCATTTTTAGACTCAGGTTTAAGTCAAAATGGCCCTCTAGCCCCTTCCAGAGCTGAGAATATTCGAAATAAAATTTCGCCCGAAAAAAAAACGACAGTGGTACTTACCCTTCGTTTTTTTTTTTCGGGTCAATTTTGACCAAATTGAGACTTTAGACCACTTCGTTTTTTTCGGGTCGAATTTTTTGAGTTTCGATGTCTCAGCTCTGGAAGGGTCTAGAGCCTTCCATTTTTGCACTTCAGGTCTAAGTCTCATGGCCCTCTATCAGAATCCAGAGTTTCAGGAAGATTATCGAAACTCAAAAATTCGGCCCAAAAAAAAAACGACAGTGGTACCCCTTACGTTTTTTTTTTTTTTTTGGGCGAAAAATTAAGTTTCTCCAATCTTCCCAAAACTCTGGATTCTGATAGAGGGCCATGAGACTTAGACCTGAGTGCAAAAATGGAGGCTCTAGCCCCTTCCAGAGCTGAGATATCGAAAATCAAAAATTCGGCAAAAAAAAAAACGTGAGTGGTCCTTATTTTTTTTTTTGGAAGGCGTTAAGTTTCTCCATCTTTGCACTCTGGTGATAGAGGGCCATGAGCCCTTTATCAGAATGCCAGAGTTTCAAGAAGATTTGGAGAAAAACTCAAAAATTCGCCCAAAAAAAAAAAACGACAGTGGTACCCCTGTTTTTTTTTCGGGCGAAATTAATTTGTTTTCCAATCTCTAACACACTTCCTAAATTCAAATTAGGCTGCATAGTTTAGACAGCCAGAAATTGGGAACACGTCCCCTAAATCTTGATCGACTTGGTACATCAAAAGAAGGATGGCGTCTACACTAATATCACTTTCTCTTTTATCCTCTATTGGGACCCTCATGGTGGACCTGTGCCTGGACCCATCCCGACTGATCCTTAAGTGCCGGCCTCATCGACACGACAGCCATCGGCATTGAATCCTCAACATCTCGTCTCCAAACCGGCATACTTCGACTTTGAACAGATGGAAATGGACAATTTTCTTAATGTTTCGATCCAATTTGTTTTGTAATTGTTGTGCTTTTGTTGGCCAGAGGAGAACTGGCCCCCAACTGAGCCTGGGTTCTCCCAATGTTTTTTTCTTCATTCAATCACCTGATGGAGTTTTGGTTCCTTGCCACTGTTGCCTTGCTTTTGGCTTGCTTAGTTGCGGACATTTAATATTCAACAATATTATTGATCTGTGTTGTATTATTTTCATGTTATCACTGTGAAGCTGCTTTGATACAATCTGTATTGTAAAAAGCACTATATAAATAAATGTGACTTGACTTGACTCCTGAGTGCAGTAAAATAGTTATCACGACAGGAACTTTAGTTCTATTCACTATCAAATATACTACCCGAAACCCCATTCAATAGATTGCAGGCGGGATTGGGCATGGGAGTGAGTAATTAATTACTTAATTTTCATTTTTGGGTGAACTAACCCTTTAATGAAAAATACTTTGTTTTGTTACACATCCCTGCAACATTTTAGACAAAATTTAACTGTTTACTAACCATCTAGCACTTCAGATCTGAATAAGGGAACATAAGGTGCATCCAAATTTGTGTAATTTTTAGGTAACAATCCAGTAGACTGGAAGGATTTTACAATTGAGGAGCACATACAATGTCTGATTCCCTAGTCAGTGCCCTGAATACTGAACTATAGGGACTTGACTTATACCTTAACCCTCACAGCCTCATTATAATCGGTTTCAATACTGCATCTGTCCTGACTAAAATTCACACCAACAACAAAAGCTATGGCTGTATCTGAAATCACATACTTCTCAACTTTATAGTAGTTGGAAAAATTCCAACTTCACAGTATATAAAACAGTAGGATGAAAAATACCCGGATGACTACCTTCAGCAAGATTCTGAAGTGCGCATCCAATGGACACTGTACTATCCCATGAGGCCACTGGAGAGGATTTGCGAATGGCAATGAAGCTATGCAGCTTACGCTGAGAGATCACATGTTAATGATAACATAGCAAATGTAGTACATTCAGATTACATTAATACTACACACATTATGCATTCAAAAGGACTTGGAGAGAATGCTATTTCAGACACAACCTATAACAATACAGTATAAGCATCCAGACCAAAGGATAATAACACTATTTTTATTCTATGCTATGTTATTTTCCATGCTTTAAATTTGGATGGATTTTGATTGCCTGTCGATGTTTTAATTGTTCATTAGGTGGAGAAGACGCTATGAAAAACATGATTCCAACCATATTGTCATTATCACTAGTTGTGGTGTGGACTCCACTAGTCTCTTGGTTATACTTGGTGAAACTTGGTTATAGTTATTTTCTATCTTGCTGTGAATGAGCCTTTAGGTTTATTAGCTGATTGCTGTATCTATAGGTGACACACCTGTGTGGGGGAGTCAGGGTCCGAGACTGGGGTCAGAGTCCAGATGATGCTGAGTCTGAACAAGGGCATCATGGTGAAGAACGAACAGGGCAGTGTAACAGAATCTCCCCGCACCACCTCCAGACCAGATTCCCTCACCGTCACCCGGACTGCACCTGGAGGGGGTGAAGGGAAACAGTCAAGCTGGATCATCTTCAATTTAAGTTTTTTTGCGCTTGATTTGAGGCCGTTTTCATATTGCAAACAATTGGCAATGATAAATCACTATCAGGCCCGTTTATTCTAGAGTTCGGTTGTGTAGCTCCTTCCATCTCAATGGTTGTCTCATTACTGTAATGATGAGTCCCACCCCCACCGCTCTGCCACCCCCAGGCCTTTGTGTGTGTGGGAAAGCAAAGTGACACTAAAGCCTTAATTACAGCTGACAGCCTTGGCAAAGACAAATACACCAACTGAGAGAACAATGGGGTTCAATTCTTCTAAAAAAAAAAAACCTGACCAAAACTACATATAGCCTACTTCAATAATTGTAACATTACAGATAAAACACCAATTGTAAAAATGCTCAAATGATCATTGTTTTTTATTATACCTCACTCAAACATTTCATATAATATACTGATTTCAAAATCATTTGAAAACCATGGAGACATTGACTTGTTACAGTATTTAAAACCCTGGATAAAATCAACTGTCTTCAAAGTTATCAACTGTCAAAGTTATCGAGCAACAGTTCTCTTCAGTGGTGTAAAAGTTCTTCTCCCCAAGTCACAAGACCATATTTAACAGCCTAATAATGTTAACAATAAAATGAACACGTACCATATTGCGGAAAAGTGGACACCAAGCAGGCCAGCCAGAGGAGTCTCCATCCTGGACAGCCCATCTCTGAGATGATCCGTGTGTGCTTTCCTCCATACAGGTCAGTGTGTTTTCCCCTTCAAACCTCAGTCACTGGCTCTGACTGGACAGGCATAACTGGGTTATTGGCCATCAAAGGGGGGCAGTTCTCGTTCTCTCTCCCTTTATCTTCTGCCCTCCCTCTATCCCCCGTAACCACACACACTGAATAGTTTACATGACCCTGTAGTGTTGAATAAAAAGCATCTGCTAAAGACCTACACATATGATGATCCCTTTGGATGACTAAAATATAAAAGCCAGCTACTAACACACTATATTTCATAAGTTTGGGGGAGGTAAGATTTTTTGTTTGGTAAAAAAATACAGTAATATTCAGAAATATTGAATTAAACCAAAAATATATAGTCCTGTGTTGTCAATGCAAAATTTTCAGCATCATTACAGTTTTCAGTGTCACATGATCCTTCAGATATCATTCTAATTAGCTGATTTAACGTTGAAAATCAGAATGTCAGAATCTAAAAATTATTTACTTGCAAATAGATTACATTTGAAATATTCATCATGTTCATCATGAACTCCAGTCTGGGAAACCCGGACGTAATGTACATGTTGTTGATACCAAAGAACAGAATAGATCTTGTTTCTCTTTGTATTTTAATTTTCACTGGGGTACAAGATGAACCTATTCAAATCAATGTGATCTAAAAACTAGTCACAATACATAACCTAAAATAAGTACTCTAATTTACATTACTAACTACTAACTGACTACAATTTGTAAAGAATGTATATTACACTTTTTAAACGATGAACTTTAGTTGAACCTTCTTACAGACAACACAACATTTTCAGCATTCAAACTGAAAGTAAACTCAAACAGAGAGATTGCAGTTACAATAGATTTATTACTTCTTTGCAAATTTTAAAATACCAAGCTTTATAGACCAAAATATACAATACTGACTTTTCACATGTAGAGTGTGTTATCAAAATAACCAAATGTGTACGGCAATCATACTGATCAATATACTGCATCATGCAAACTAACAGATTTAGAAAGGCAATAATGGTTCACAATTTTCAAACATGGTCTCATGTCACTTGGAATGTACAAAATAAACCATATTATGAATAGCCTTATTATTACTTATCACAAATAATCCCAAATGCCAGTGATCACCTTTAGTAATGGTAGCAGATTAATAAATTAATAGCAACAAAGTAGTTCAACTCAGAAACCACAGTGGAATGGATTAGGTGCCCATAGCAGCTTAGACAAACCCTGATGTAAGCACATATACATACTGTACATGCTTTGATTACTACATACATATAGATCAAATTACATAAGCAGCAAATATATATTTTATACAGTAGAATATTTCATACATAGACAAAAGTATCCTTAAATAAAGTATCTTAAAGGTTGAGAAGCTTTGGATGTCAGATTCAGTCAGGTGAATTAGCACTAATCACATTAAAGTTGTACAAAGGTTGAGGACTTTAAATTTACTAACATCAAGTACCATTTAAATTAATACAATATTAGGATATTATTGCGTCATGAATCGCACAGCAGACAAAACACTGTTAGAAAAGGTTCATAAATAATATCTCAACCCACTGATGGCCCATCCTCAAGCCTTTTTCGGTCTGCTCTGGCCCTCTATAGGTCAAAACAAGATCAAATAAACCCACTGATCAGCGAGCTCCCACTACGGCTCAGGTATCTCTCGTGTACAGGAAGCCGGACCACTCATGAACTATTAGCCCTCAATTCCAACTGAAGGCTAAAACAAGCAGGGTCAGTAAACTTTACCATGTTATTTCCCAAGCCAGAGGTCACTAAGAAGATGGTTTGTTGTACCCAAACAGCCCCACAGGAATGTACTTCACATGAGTGGGCCACTGAGATGCCAGCTGGAAGAACTTCACATCATTCCACTCCATCCCATCTACAGACACTGAAACATTAAACACGTCCATCTCGTGAGTAAAGTGCGTTAACATACAGAGGGTGCAACTGTCTGAGACATTTAAAAGCTAATGTAAACCTGAATTTTGACATTTAAAACAAAAGACAGCTTATGACAAAATTAATATGAAATATTTAAGATTCTGCATTATTATAGGTCACTGTTAAAATAAGCAAATGTGTGACATTGATCGTGTAGACAACAAATACCCCCCAAAAATTCTAAAGTTCATAAATGCACATTTTTTAATTAACTTCTCAATTATATGAAATATGATAATATGCAGAATATTCAATTAGGAAAATGCAAACCATAAGCATCATAGACATTAATGTTCAGGTTAGTGGACATATCACAATGGTTTTTTCCAATAAACTTACCACTGTATTGATTTATGTGTTATCCTCTGTGGTGAGAGTTCGTTTGGACAGCGGTTTAAAGTACTTTTGACTTCAAAAAACGCGTTGGATTGTGTTGTTAACCAAGACCTTTTGCGGTTTAATTGACTTACATCTGTATCAATGTAAAATTCTATAAAAGTTGAACGGACATCATTGACATTATCTGTTCTGTGTTACATATTTGTACAGATTTATGCCGTCTTACAGCCACTATTTTTGACCAATTTTTCTGGGTTATTACAAAAGTTAACAGGCTCATTCATTTTGTGTCCTGTTGTACCTCTTAGACTGGTTTGTTGATTCTTGGCAGAGCAGATGAGTCTGGTGATGCCTTCAATGATCTGACTCTTTGACTCTGTGTCTCTCTCCTTGGCTTCTTCCCTAGGAAGATGGTTGGAACTGAAGAGAGGCGAAATTAGTAAATATAGTTATGTGTGGATATGGATAAATATGGTGACTATCAACAATAGTAGCACTGCAAAAAAAGAAAAAAAGAAAATGAAAACACTGTATAGAGTCATGAAACAAAGGGATCTTTAGCAAAAAGACAAATGTGCATTTTCTGTGCATATTCAGTGAATAGTCTCACCTTTCTTGTTCTTCTCCTTGGTCACCACAGTCATGGACATGGTGTTAGAGCCAGTCTGGAGCTCAATGTTGCCGAAACCGGGCAGTCGGCTAACCTGCAAGGATCTGAACGCACACCTCAAAGTCTTCTTACTGTCTCTCTGCTCTCCGTCTTTGCGTCTCTCAAGCCCGGCAGACACCCAGTAATCCACCTGAAGCCCAATCGCATCCACGCCATGAGACATGTTGGGGCTCCTAGATAACAGAATCAGTTTGACCATATTTACCAGGCTAGCATTTTTTAACAGAGGTAAGCCATAGAATTGTGAGAAACAGCAAAGCGGTGCAGATTTCTGAACAATATTGTACACAAACCCTAGCGCAGCAAGTCCACCGCTTAGTGAGGGTGATGGAGGAGGTGTTGCAGAATCTTTCATCATCCCAGTGGGAGATACGTGAGCAGGTGGAGACGTCGAGGGAACTGCCAAGCTCAAAGCTAAACCTTCTTCACAATCTCCAACTACAATGAGTCAAATAAACATTTGGGGGAAAAACTGCAATAATAGTAAAATGCAATTTCATTGCAAAGTGACAAGATCATTTCGAAAAGAAATATAAATGCTTGCTGTTATTAATAATTGGCCAGTCTAATAAAGAACATTAAACAACAAAATGTTTCAATACTATTGCATACTAAAATGTGCATCTTTAACTTTAGTGGTAAGTCGGACCACATTGGTTCCATTTTTGATTCGCTAAAAACTAAACCAGCTCATAATAAGAGTAACTTGTTGAGGAATCAAACCACATCTGGTTGCACTGTCTGGTTCTTTGTTCCCAACTCTAATGTTAATACAATATTACAGGTGATTTTTTATAAAAGGATGCAAAACAAAAAAGAAAGACAAACCTGAAGATCCTGGGCTGCGCTCTACCAATCGCTCTACCTTAACCAACTGTTGCAAGAAAAAAGGATCATTGAAAATTAAAACACTAGTGTTAAAGGGGTCATATAATGCTATTTTCAAAGTTAATTGAAGATTAAGATCCTTTAATTACAATTCTCATTAGTATTTAAATTGATCAAAAGTAACAGTAAATACATTTAGAATGTTACAAAAGTACATTTTGCTCTTTTAAACTTTCTATAAATCAAAGGAATTCTGAGACCTTGGTGAGACTTCTTTTTTTTTTAAAAATGTACCTACCACAAACTTTTAAATGCTAGGCTTACATTAACTAAAAATGTACTCACACCCACAAAAAGGAACAAAATTTTGGTAGGAATCTTCATCTTGCCTAGAATAGTAAAAAACACAATAAGTTAAAATATATATAAAATATTTGAAATGATGAGGTGATAGAAATCATCTTACATCTTTTTGTTTGCAGTCAGCATGGCCTCAGCAATGGGAGCTGATGAGTAACTACAGATCCGTTAATGTACTGTAAAATTCGTCCAGTCACATCCAAGTCAGCAGAGGAAGAAGC